ATACACTAAAAGTGTTATAAATGTTGCAAAGGTGACATTAAAACACTATCCAAAGATGGCTAACACAAAGCTACTACCAGTACAGTATGCTTAAAATATCAGTAACGGGTGGCTCCTCACTTATTGACCAAATGGCTTAACGATCTACTTGTAGGAACAGAATTCTGTCGTTAGTGAGGAGGGCCTGTATAATATACATTAACATCAATAAATGCAATAATACATGAAGACAAGACTTATGGTCTGATGAACTACCAAAAAAAAAAAAAAAAAAAAAAAAAAAGGGAACCCACAAAATAGTGAGAAGAGTAAAATATCAATGTTCACATTTTAATCACTTTACCAACAGTTTCAAGTCACAATGAAACATCAACGACTGCTTAGGAGGACAGGTTGTAAATTCTACAAAGACTGTCATACTATGACAAAATAAATGACATCTCAGAAAAGTAAAGAGTTGTATAACAAAAATATTGTGAATTAATGTTATTACGTAGGTAGTAGGTTGGTAGACAGCAACCACCCAGGGAAGTACTACCGTCCTGCCAGATGACTGTGAAACAAAAACCTGTAACTGTTTTGCATGATGGTAGGATTGCTGGTTTCTTTTTCTGTCTCATAAACACGCTAAGATAACAGGGATATCTTGCTACTCCTACTTACACTTTGGTCACACTTCACAGACACGCACATGCATATATATATATACATACATCTAGGTTTTTCTCCTTTTTCTAAATAGCTCTTGTTCTTTTTTATTTCTTCTATTGTCCTGGGGAAGTGGAAAAAGAATCTTTCCTCCGTAAGCCATGCGTGTCGTATGAGGCGACTAAAATGCCGGGAGCAATGGGCTAGTAAACCCCTTCTCTGTATACAATTACTAAAAAAGAGAAGAAGAAAAACTTTATAAAACTGGGTTGCTTAAATGTGCGTGGATGTAGTGCGGGATGACAAGAAACAGATGATTGCTGATGTTATGAATGAAAAGAAGTTGGATGTCCTGGCCCTAAGCGAAACAAAGCTGAAGGGGGTAGGAGAGTTTCAGTGGGGGGAAATAAATGGGATTAAATCTGGAGTATCTGAGAGAGTTAGAGCAAAGGAAGGGGTAGCAGTAATGTTAAATGATCAGTTATGGAAGGAGAAAGAGAAATTGAATGTGTAAATTCAAGAATTATGTGGATTAAAGTAAAGGTTGGATGCGAGAAGTGGGTCATAATAAGGTGTATGCACCTGGAGAAGAGAGGAATGCAGAGGAGAGAGAGAGATTTTGGGAGATGTTAAGTGAATGTATAGGAGCCTTTGAACCAAGTGAGAGAGTAATTGTGGTAGGGGACTTGAATGCTAAAGTAGGAGAAACTTTTAGAGAGGGTGTGGTAGGTAAGTTTGGGGTGGCCAGGTGTAAATGATAATGGGAGCCCTTTGATTGAACTTTGTATAGAAAGGGGTTTAGTTATAGGTAATACATATTTTAAGAAAAAGAGGATAAATAAGTATACACGATATGATGTAGGGCGAAATGACAGTAGTTTGTTGGATTATGTATTGGTAGATAAAAGGACTGTTGAGTAGACTTCAGGATGTACATGTTTATAGAGGGGCCACAGATATATCAGATCACTTTCTAGTTGTAGCTACACTGAGAGTAAAAGGTAGATGGGATACAAGGAGAATAGAAGCATCAGGGAAGAGAGAGGTGAAGGTTTATAAACTAAAAGAGGGAGGCAGTTAGGGTAAGATATAAACAGCTATTGGAGGATAGATGGGCTAATGAGAGCATAGGCAATGGGGTCGAAGAGGTATGGGGTAGGTTTAAAAATGTAGTGTTAGAGTGTTCAGCAGAAGTTTGTGGTTACAGGAAAGTGGGTGCAGGAGGGGAAGAGGAGCGATTGGTGGAATGATGATGTAAAGAGAGTAGTAAGGGAGAAAAAGTTAGCATATGAGAAGTTTTTACAAAGTAGAAGTGATGCAAGGAGGGAAGAGTATATGGAGAAAAAGAGAGAAGTTAAGAGAGTGGTGAAGCAATGTAAAAAGAGAGCAAATGAGAGAGTGGGTGAGATGTTATCAACAAATTTTGTTGAAAATAAGAAAAAGTTTTGGAGTGAGATTAACAGTTAAGAAAGCCTAGAGAACAAATGGATTTGTCAGTTAAAAATAGGAGAGGAGAGTTATTAAATGGAGAGGTAGAGGTATTGGGAAGATGGAAGGAATATTTTGAGGAATTGTTAAATGTTGATGAAGATAGGGAAGCTGTGATTTCGTGTATAGGGCAAGGAGGAATAACATCTTGTAGGAGTGAGGAAGAGCCAGTTGTGAGTGTGGGGGAAGTTCGTGAGGCAGTAGGTAAAATGAAAGGGGGTAAGGCAGCCGGGATTGATGGGATAAAGATAGAAATGTTAAAAGCAGGTGGGGATATAGTTTTGGAGTGGTTGGTGCAATTATTTAATAAATGTATGGAAGAGGGTAAGGTACCTAGGGATTGGCAGAGAGCATGCATAGTTCCTTTGTATAAAGGCAAAGGGGATAAAAGAGAGTGCAAAAATTATAGGGGGATAAGTCTGTTGAGTGTACCTGGTAAAGTGTATGGTAGAGTTATAATTGAAAGAATTAAGAGTAAGACGGAGAATAGGATAGCAGATGAACAAGGAGGCTTTAGGAAAGGTAGGGGGTGTGTGGACCAGGTGTTTACATGAAACATATAAGTGAACAGTATTTAGATAAGGCTAAAGAGGTCTTTGGGGCATTTATGGATTTGGAAAAGGCGTATGACAGGGTGGATAGGGGGGCAATGTGGCAGATGTTGCAAGTGTATGGTGTAGGAGGTAGGTTACTGAAAGCAGTGAAGAGTTTTTACGAGGATAGTGAGGCTCAAGTTAGAGTATGTAGGAAAGAGGGAAATTTTTTCCCAGTAAAAGTAGGCCTTAGACAAGGATGTGTGATGTCACCGTGGTTGTTTAATATATTTATAGATGGGGTTGTAAGAGAAGTAAATGCGAGGGTCTTGGCAAGAGGCGTGGAGTTAAAAGATAAAGAATCACACACAAAGTGGGAGTTGTCACAGCTGCTCTTTGCCGATGACACTGTGCTCTTGGGAGATTCTGAAGAGAAGTTGCAGAGATTGGTGGATGAATTTGGTAGGGTGTGCAAAAGAAGAAAATTAAAGGTGAATACAGGAAAGAGTAAGGTTTGAGGATAACAAAAAGATTAGGTGATGAAAGATTGAATATCAGATTGGAGGGAGAGAGTATGGAGGAGGTGAACGTATTCAGATATTTGGGAGTGGACGTGTCAGCGGATGGGTCTATGAAAGATGAGGTGAATCATAGAATTGATGAGGGAAAAAGAGTGAGTGGTGCACTTAGGAGTCTGTGGAGACAAAGAACTTTGTCCTTGGAGGCAAAGAGGGGAATGTATGAGAGTATAGTTTTACCAACGCTCTTATATGGGTGTGAAGCGTGGGTGATGAATGTTGCAGCGAGGAGAAGGCTGGAGGCAGTGGAGATGTCATGTCTGAGGGCAATGTGTGGTGTGAATATAATGCAGAGAATTCGTAGTTTGGAAGTTAGGAGGAGGTGCGGGATTACCAAAAACTGTTGTCCAGAGGGCTGAGGAAGGGTTGTTGAGGTGGTTCGGACATGTAGAGAGAATGGAGCGAAACAGAATGACTTCAAGAGTGTATCAGTCTGTAGTGGAAGGAAGGCGGGGGTAGGGGTCGGCCTAGGAAGGGTTGGAGGGAGGGGGTTAAAGGAGGTTTTGTGTGCGAGGGGCTTGGACTTCCAGCAGGCATGCGTGAGCGTGTTTGATTAGGAGTGAATGGAGACAAATGGTTTTTAATACTTGACGTGCTGTTGGAGTGTGAGCAAAGTAACATTTATGAAGGGATTCAGGGAAACCGGCAGGCCGGACTTGAGTCCTGGAGATGGGAAGTACAGTGCCTGCACTCTGAAGGAGGGGTGTTAATGTTGCAGTTTAAAAACTGTAGTGTAAAGCACCCTTCTGGCAAGACAGTGATGGAGTGAATGATGGTGAAAGTTTTTCTTTTTCGGGCCACCCTGCCTTGGTGGGAATCGGCCGGTGTGATAATAAAAAATAAATAATAAAAAAATAATGTTATTACTGTAAAATAATGTCTAATATAAAATATAATTCTGATATATCACACAGAAGACTTACTTGACGGAAAGGAATTCAAAATATGGTATATTTCATACTGCACCAACATCTTTGGATTCTCCTATATAAAAATATACTGTATTTACATTTCTAAGCCTAAAAATAGTTATCAAAAAATACTTATGTAATATAGATACAAGTCTACTACAATTGTGTCAACTTAATCAAACATATTTACATACATATAATCTAACAAAGTTCCATGAGATATTACACAACATTAGTTAGTTATTACCTGTATATATGAACTACAAATTTTATCATAAAATAAAGACCAACACAGTTAATCTTGATTTCAAACTTTACTACATAAAATTATTATCATGTGAAAGCAATTCACTACTGCATGCTAAAGGGTGTACTGATGTTAAGAAGGTTAAAGCACGGAGCTCAAGTACAAAGGCAAAATAGTTGCATCAGGAACAGCAAATTAATTTCAGATTATGCATATTAGGGCACTAACGATACGGTTAGAAGTCATGATGTGCTCTTATCAGCAGGATCATCAGTCCTAAACTCAACTTAAATTTGTCACAAGGACAGTGGGAGCCCGATACTGTTACCACTTATGCTACAAAATCCTACATTCCATTAGCCAATCTAATCACACAACTGCCACAACTGATCTGCATGCATCTGCACGCACAATAAAACAAAAATTAAAATTATATACTGTTATATAATGAAACATCACATGCATCAAGAACAAAAGAATTTGCATAATCTATACATCTGAAACAATTCCTGAGAGAAAAAAAAAGTGTAAATTCTAAACCAAACACTACCAGACTACACACATTTTATACCTGAAATTTGGATGTAATTTTTACCTTGGTAAACCCCACAGCTTCAGAACTATAACTATCACCTAAGCACTTTGCTTTGTATTCACCTCGGCTACAACCTTTATTCTGAAAAACATTACAGCTATATTAGTAATAAATGGAAGTCACATTGCATATCAATGCTAAACTTTACCAAAAATTTTAAATTTCAATTTGTATTCTTTCCATTCAATTAATTTAATTTTTTTTAATAAAATTAGAGGGTATATATAAATCAGTACCTGTTGATATCAGGATGTCTGCAGTCCTCTTGAAAAGAAATTCCATTCCTTCTCAATAGGTCTTGAAGAGATTTAATATAGAAATCCTGGGCATAGCTGTATGTACGATACCTTCCCACTTCTTGCTCTGCAAGGTATCGATTCTGCTGTTCCTCCAGTAATCTCTTTTCTCCTGCTCTCTGCACTTGTAACACCATTGCTGAGAAAAGAATAATTTTTAAAAAGTGTGAAAGCCCTTTGAATATGTAAACAATTACAAATATTCTTCTTTGTCCTGGAAATCTATATAGTACAGTGGACCCCCGCATAACGATTACCTCCGAATGCGACCAATTATGTAAGTGTATTTATGTAAGTGCATTTGTACGTGTATGTTTGGGGGTTTGAAATGGACTAATCTACTTCACAATATTCCTTATGGGAATAAATTCGGCCAGTACTGGCACCTGAACATACTTATGGAGTGAAAAAATATCGTTAACCGGGGGTCCACTGTATATGTTTTTTTTTTTTTAGGCAAGATCAAGTTTAAAATGAACATGACAAGGGGGTAATGAATTAAGAGATTTTTAATTCATTTATTATGTGAAGCACTAAACCCACATAGGTCATCGAGAGAGTAATGTAAAATTAATTATGAAAAATCAAATATTTCACGTGTGAAATATTTACACAAATACACAGGGAAAAATGGCAAAGCAGCAAACTTTCTTGAAAGTTACTCATTTAACTTCCTAGTTAATATCTGATGCAATAAAAAGTGAGAAACCATTTGAATATAAACTAAATACAGGTTAGAGATATCTATATATTTCAGGCTTTGTAGGGGGTCCTCATCTGCTGTCTCTCTGAGGCACAAAAAATTACAGAATATGACACTCAGCCAACTAAATGATGCAAAAGTCTAAGAGAAAAATAACTGAATTAGGCTGACGCTTACCATTTTGTATATGAGCAACCCTCCACAAGCGCAAAACTATGATGAGGCCAACTCCAGTGTGAGCATCATGTGAGTGCAAGTAAACACCATCAAGGCACATGGCAACAATAACCACAATGGCATCAAACACATCTCCCTGAAAATTATTAAAATTTTTAGAACTTAAAAACATTCTATTCCTTACAAAACTACTGCATAATTTTTTCTAGTAAACACCTTACTTAACCCGTAAACGGTCCAAAACTTATATATACATTCACTACCCCAGTGCCCCGAATATTTTGAAAAATAAAAAAAATCGGTATTTTTTATTAAAAAAAAAAAAAAGAGCACATTTTTCTAAGTGTTATTTTTTTTTATTATCACACACTGGCCGATTCCCACCAAGGCAGGGTGGCCCGAAAAAGAAAAACTTTCACCATCATTCACTCCATCACTGTCTTGCCAGAAGGGTGCTTTACACTACAGTTTTTAAACTGCAACATTAACACCCCTCCTTCAGAGGCGGCAGTTTCCATCTCCGGGGGATCAAGCCGGCGGCCGGTTTTCCCTGAACCCCTTCATAAATGTTTTTTTTCCACCTCCAACAGCACGTAAAAGTTTTAAAAAACCCATTGTCCCATTCACTCCTTCAAACACGCTACACTTGCCTGCGGGACGCCCAGCCTGCAAAAAAACCTCCTTTACCCCCTCCCCCCAAACCTTTCCCTAGGCCGACCCTACCCCCCCTTTCCCTTCCATACAGACTGATACACTCTTGAAGCCTCTTTTTCGCTCCATTCTCTCACGTCCAAACCCCTCAAAAACCCTTCCCTCGCCCTGGCAACAGTTTTGGTAATCCCGCACCTCCTCCAAATTCCAAATACAAATTTCTCTGTTTATATTCACACCACACATTGCCTCAGCATAACATCTCCACTGCCTCCCCCTTTTCCCTCGCGAAACTTTTTCCCCCATGCCACACCCTTAAGGCAGGGGTAAAACTATACTCTATACATTCCCCCTTTGCCCCAAGGACAAAGTTCTTTGCTCCACATACCCCTAAGTGCACCCTCCCCTTTTTCCCCTCATCTTTCTATGATTCACCTATTTTTTCATAGCCCCCATGCTGACATCCCCCCCAAATATCTAAATTTTCACACCCTCCCTTACTCTTCCCTCCAATATAAACCCAAATTTCATCCCAAATCTTTTTGTTACCCTCTAACCTTTCTTTCCCCTCTATTCACTTTTAATTTCTTCTTTTGCACACCCTCCAAATTCACCCAAAATCTCTGCAAACTTCCGTCGAATCCCAAAGAGCACAGTGACAGCAAAGAGCAACTGTGACAACTCCCACTTTAAGGGATTCTTTATTTTAAAAATCCATGCCTCTTGCCAAGACCCTCGCATTTCTTCTCTTAAACCCCTCTAAATATATTAAAAAACCCACGGGGGACATCACACACCCTTGTCAAAGGGCCCCTTTTTACTGGAAAATAATTTCCCCTCTTTCCTACATACTCTAATTGGCCCCCACTTCTCGTAAAAACTCTTCACGTTTTCAGTAACCTCCCTCCTTTTACACCTGAAAACATCTCCCAAATTGCCCCCCTATCCACCCTGTCATACCCCTTTTTCCCAAAATTTCCATAAATGTCAAAAGATCTTTTACCCTTATCAAAATACTGTTCACTTATATGTTTCACTGAAAAACTGGTCCACACCCCCCTCCTTTCCAAAACCCTCCTTGTTTTTCTATCCTATTTCTGTTTTACTCTTAATTTTTTTTAAATAATACTCTACATACACTTTACCAGGTATCTAAACGATTTCCCCTATAATTTTTGCACTCTCTTTTGCCCCCTTTGTTTATAAAAAGGGACTTGCGCCTCTTCCAATCCCAGGTACCTTACCTTTCCATAATTTTTAAAATAATTTGCCCAACCCTCCAAAAACTATTCCCCCCCTGTTTTTAAAAATTTTTTTTGACCCCATCAATCCCGGCTGCCTTCCCCCCTTTATTTTCCTACTGCCCCCGAATTCCCCCCACCTAAAAACTGGCCTCTTCCTACCCCTACAAGATGTTTTTCCCCCCTTCCCCTATACAGAAATCAAGTTCCCTATCTTCTCAACTTTTTAACAATTTTTCCTCAAAATTTCCCCCATCCCCCAATACCTTAACTCCCCTTTTAAACTCTCCTTCCTATTTTTAACTGCAAATCCTTTGTTCTCTGGGTTTCCCTTAACTTGTTAATCTCCCCCAAAAAATTTTTTCTTATTTTAAACAAAATTTGTTTTAAAATCTCACTCACTCTCTCATTTTTCTCTTTTTTACATTGTCCCACTCTCTTAACCTCTTCTTTTTCTCCTATACTCTTCCCCTTTTCCTTTACTTTGTAAAAAATTCTCATATGCTACTTTTTCTCCCCATACTCTCTTTACCTGGGGGTTTTCCTGGAGAGAGTTCGGGGGTCAACGCCCCCGCGGGGCCCCCGGGCTGGGGACCAGGGGCCTCCTGGTGGATCAGAGCCCGATCAACCCGGCTGTTGCTGTGGGTGCCGCAAACCAACGTACGAGCCACAGCCCGGCTGGTCAGGAACCCATTTAGGTGTTTTCCAGTGCCACTTGGACTGCCCGGGGTCTGTTTGGGAATCCCCCCTTTTGTATGCTGGAGGCAGTTTTAACGTCCGGGGCCCCCCGACATTATTGTATGGTCTCTTAACGTGCTGGACACCCCGCTTTTTACTGGGGGTTTTTGCTCGTCTGCCCAAATCTTTTGCTTTCGTTGAGTGATTTTTTGTGTGCAGTTCGGTCTAGCCCTCTAGGATTTTCCCGGGTATATAATCATGTATCTCTCCCGCCTGCATTTCCCGGGTACGGTTTGGAACCTCAAGTGCTCCAGTAAATTGAGGTGTTTTATCTCCCTTTTTGGTGCCGTGAAGGTTCTTGTACTTTTCTAGGTCGCAATTTCACCTGCCTTGAAAAGGGGTGTTGTGTGCAGCAATATTCGCCCAGATAGAAAAAAGTGCCTGAAGAGTGTCATTGGGCTTTGGCCTCCCTAGTTTTGAAAGGTTTTTTTTATCCCTCCCGTCATTTTTTTGCGATGCGACTGATACAATGTTTGGTCCTTGAAGGGGAGATCTTCCAAACATGATCATCCCAGGTCTTTGACGTTGGTGTTTGCTTTTTTGTGGCCAGAATTTGTTTTGTACTCGATGAAAATTTAAATTTTTGGTTTACCATATCTGAGTAACTGAAATTTTACGTTGAACTTATTTTTTTTTCTGCGCCCCCTGAAAATTTGGTTTATGTCCCCCTGGAGTTTTCAGTGTCTGCAAGGAAGACACTGTCTGCAGATTCGGGTGTCATCTGCAAAGGAAGACACGGTGTGTGGCCCGGGACACCTTTTTTTATGTCGAATATGGGTGAGGAACAAGATGGGGGAGTACTGTGCCTTGGGAACAGAGCTTTTCAGTAGCGTCGGATTTACTCTGTTGACAACTACTTCTGTGTTTGTTAGTGAGGAAAATTATAGATCCATCGACCCACTTTTCCTGTTTTTCCTTTAGAACATTTTGTGCGCTATTACGCCTGGTCACATTGTCGAAAGGGTTTTGCAAAATCTGTATTATTAATTGCATTTTTTTGTCATTCCACCAATGCTCCTCTTCCCCCCCACACCCACTTTCTGTAACACAAACTTTGTGAAAAAACTCTAACATACATTTTTTTTAAACCCACCCCTTTCCCCTTTTGACCCATTGCCTTTTTCTTCATTAGCCCTCTAAGGGTTTTAGGATAAAAAAAAAAAAATTAGAGTCGTACTTACCCAATTGAGGCCGCAAAGTGGACTTGGGGATCACCTGACGGCAACATGGAGCACTGGCCGTTGCAAAAAGTGTTGCAATTCATTTTTTTTATATTTTTCATATTATTTATATAATTTTTAGTTCTGTAATAAACTTATAGTAGTTCTTGTCATTCATAAACCCCCTCTTTGCTGACACTTTGTATTAGGTTTAAATTGTACTACATTTTCCAAACCACGACAGGTGGACATTTAAACCCGCCCTTTGGGCCCTTTACTATTGTCTTGGAAATATACAAAAATATTTTTTTGTCCCCCGCAAGTTTTGGATTGTGGAAGTTATAATTTTAATGGGAGGAGGGGGGAGGAGGGGAAAAAAAAATAGTAATAATAATAAAATAATAAGCCCTTGAAAACATGAAAAAAAAAGTACCCATGGCAGTGAATAAGATGAGGGAAAAATCTGTAAGAGCTAGTTTGATGAGCATACATAAGGGTGGGGGAGGGTGCAGCAGATAAGAAAAGATTAGAGGTGACGTTTGAAGAGCATCGCCCTCCTTTGTTTTCGCTGGTACACAAACATGTCTGCCTATTTGTCTGTCAAGCTCCCTGTATATCTGTCTATTCGTCTAGCTCTCTGTCTCAGAGAGAGAAACAAGACTGCATCATTGTCATCACGTTTATTCACATCTTCAAGCAGAGTATAGCACTTTGTCTGGATTTTTTGTGTTATCCTAGGTAATTTACACTATGTATACTTGTATTTATGTGTACCTGTGAGACAGAGATAGACAGACAGATAGAAAGAGATAGAGACAGAAAGACAGAGACAGATAGACAGAAACAAAGAGAAAGAGACAGAGATGGACAGATACAGACAGACAAACGGAGATAGAGCCAGGCCGCCAGCAGCCACACAGCTGGCCACCATGCAGCTGGCCAGCCAGCTAGCCATCCAGCTAGCCAGCCAATCAGTCAGTCAGTCAGTCAGTCAGTCATCCAGCCAGCCAGCCAGCCAGCCAGCCAGCCAGCCAGCCAGCCAGCCAGCCAGCCAGCCAGCCAGCCAGCCAGCCAGCCAGCCAGCCAGCCAGCCAGCCAGCCAGCCAGCAGCCAGCCAGCCCAGCCAGCCAGCCAGCCAGCCAGCCAGCCAGCCAGCCAGCCAGCCAGCCAGCCAGCCAGCCAGCCAGCCAGCCAGCCAGCCAGCCAGCCAGCCAGCCAGCCAGCCAGCCTGCCAGCCAGCCTGCCAGAATTGTTTCTCTTTACTTAGGGCATAGGTTATAAGACATTCTGAAAGGGTGTTGCACAAATATTGCATATGGGTTATTATCAAGGTTTTTTGATATTTC